CATAACCGGGGACACGGCTAATCATGATTAGTTTGCTACACTCTGCAGAGGTTTGCGCACTTTTCCCCACAAGACTCGATCGCCTCCGTTTGGTTTCTCGCACTACAGGGTGTTTGAGAAGACGGATGACCGAAACATAGTCTTTCAGAAGCGCTAGCACCTTACGATCGGGTAGACTGTTCCACCTATATCCCCTACATCTGCTAGTCTACCACTGTAAGAGTTCGCACAACTTAGTCAACTATGCTAGAGCCCATAATAGCTTGTGGCTGCACACGGAAGTTTCTAGTATGAATAGTCTTATGATCCCTTTGAGCCTGGGTGGCGGTCCAAAAGAAAAATAGGCAAGTCCTGGAATACCCAGGTGCCTCAATCCACCCAGATGTGTGTTTAAGTTGCCACCTTAGATAAACCATTAATTATCAATCTCACATCTGTCAATGGATTTCACTCACCCAATCCACGTCTACTAGCATAGCATGGCATAATAAGCAAACGTGAAGTAACTCCCAAAGGTTTGATAATAACTGGTAATAGGTACTACCTCATCTACTTCCCATCCCACAATTTAATTAGATCCTAATCATGCAATGTGTGAGGATTGATCTAATGCAATAAAACTGGGTAGTAGAAAATGTATGATCAAAGTGTTACTTGTCTTGTTGATGATCCGAGAAACCTAGCGATTCGAAGTAACAGGTGGCGCACTCTGGATATTCTATCACAAACAAACAAACAAGTAAGAATCGAATCGAACGAAGCAACGAAAGTCAAACGGCGAAAGAAAACAACTTCATTCTAGCAATCTGGATCTAGAGCAATTTTTATAGTAGCAAAATCTTGTTTAGGTTGGTTAAACGGATAGAGGGTTTCGAGACGAATCCCTAGGCGCTTGAATCGCCTGATTCCGATAAACGAGCGAAAAGTTAAACTAAAATGAAAATTGGATCAGAAATCGCGATCAGAAAAATTGCGGATTTAATCCGAGAAAAGAAAAACGAAGAACAGATTAACGAACGAACGTTCGTTATCTGAAACTAAACGATGAACGTGTTCGTTAAAATGAATGAATCGGTGAGCGTTCACTAATTAAGTAAACCAGAGAAATAAACCGATTTAGGGTTTCAAAAAAACCGAAGCGGTTTCTAAAAAAAACGAACGGCGAACGGCGGCGGCTATACCTCCGGCGAGGTATTTCGGCGAGCGGGGCGGGGCTCCGGCGGCGGTGGCTATGCGGGGCGGCGGGGCGGCTCGGCAGCGGCGGCGGCGGCATGTGGCGTGCGGCGGC